TTAGGAAAGAAAGGATCTAAAATGCTAAAAAAGCAAGGTGATACATTCTTTAATTGGCACGTAGAAGGATCTAAACATTTAAATCAAAGTCTGTCTCTTTAAAGGTTCTGTACAAAAGGCAAACGAAAAAAATCTTAAAAGTCTTTTTAATAATTATTAGTCAAAAGCTTTAGCCATCTGGGTTGGAAATCTTGTCCTATGGACTAAAAAAACAATTTGAGCTCAGGTACTCTTTAATAAATTAGTGGGCTTGGATTATTGTACCTGGTACATGGCTAAAATTTTGGAATAAAAGCTCTAAGTTTTTTTTTTGTCTATATGTTTATGTATGTGAATGGAAATATTTATATGTTTTTCTAAAAATTGAGCATTAATGTAAAAATACATTGATGCAAAACTAGAATTTGGTCCTCCTGTTAAAAGAACACATTTTTTTGGTAGTATTTATGTGCTCTAAATAGGAAATTGTGAAAGGTCTTTCTTTACCTTTTAGGTAATTGGCCCAAAAAACAAAGATTCTGTGTTTCACCAAGATAATTTCCTTTGCTTTATGTTGTCTTTTTTAGGTTTTTGATTACTTAAGAACACTGAGCCTTCTCTACTAAAAGAGCTTAGGTTTTTCTATAACTATGTAACTTTCTATATTTGTCTTTGAAGTCTTTTAATTATTACCTTGGTTAAAGAAATGAATTGTTCACAGTGACCTGTGATCTTATTTTAAGCAAATATTTTAACTCTTGGATATTTTTGATAAACTTCTAAAATCAAACTCTAAATTAAGTCTTTTTCTGGATCTCAAATTAACTTTGGTATTTTCAAGATGGACTTTTGGAACTTTTCAAAGAAACACCTCTACTGATAAAAAGAGAGATATTAAAATAACTGGGCTTATTTGACATATTAAATTGCATGGGAAGCACTGTCAAATAGTAAAAGTAATACATTTTCTTTGAGTTCTATTTGCATCAATATGTCATTAATGTATTTCAGAAACTGTATAAAGTTTACAGAAATCTAACAATCCTGGTAGTGTAATAACCTAACCTGGGTTAGCCTAACTGACTCCATCTTAGCTGCAAACCTGACAAGCTCTCTAGAGCCTCTCCCTCCCTGCTGCAGCCCCTCAGGTGCATTGCTGGGTCACCTGCACTCAAAGCTTTGAACCCTTAAGAGTGGTTTCCACTGTTCGTAGTACCTGTAACCACTGTAACCCCATCCTGCTTGGCAAGTCTACCTGCTGTTGTGAATACCTTCCTCATGATTGATTGTATGGAAAGATCCCCCTGCTACCCGCTTTAGGGATTGAATGGAAATACCCTTAGCAACCAACAATCTTGGGAACCTCCCGCCCCCTGGTTACCAGCATCCTCCTACTAACTTGCTACTTCTGCTTCTGTAAAATTCCCCTTCAGCTAGACTGCCCCCTCCCCTACCTAAATCAAAGTGTAAAGGAAAATCAAGCCTCTTCCTCGAGGCTGAGAGATTTTGAGCGTTAGCTGACTCTCGCTCTCCGGCTGAATAAAGGACTCATAATTTAAAACTCAGAGAGTGGCGTTTCCTTCTAACTCGCTCAGTTATTACAGTATAACTCTAACAATCATAATTCTAGTTATTATCTTAAAATGTTTTATGCAAGATAAATAACCAAAACACTTAGTCAATTGCATCATTACTGTGATGAACTGTCATCATATATTTAACCATGGCCATTTCAAGTCTTGTCATTCACAGGGTGCTTAATTAATTACTCTGATACTTTCCTGAGTAACTGTAAGCCTAAAGTTCTTCATCTTCATGGAGATTCATGAAAAAGACTCTAACAGGTACAGGTTTCTGATGACTTTAAGATCACACCATTGGACTGTGCAACAATTCCCAGAACTTTAGTGGAGAAAGTGACTGGTTCACAAAACTCCTAACCCAACAACAAGCAGAACAAGAATTAATACCAAGGAAATGACCTGGCAGATTTTCCTGCTAAGTTATCCAGTACTGAAATTATTAAGATATGCAATTTGAATGAACTCCCATAAAATTGAATTAAGTGAAATTACCTGTGTTAACTTATTTAACAAACAGTGCTACACACCTGAATTAGAGAAACAAAATATATGTTTAAGAGGATGTAAATCCAATGGTAAGCATAGATTCATGGAGAGCCTGGATGGCTACCTGCTTCTTCCTGAGTCCTTAAAGTTTCCATTGTCAAAAGCTCTGCATTCCACAACTTATCGTGGAAGAGATATAAGCATCCAAATTGTGAAGAAATATTGGTGGAATGACTCTTCTAAAAGTGCTAAAATGATTTACACCCACTGTTTGGCTTGTCAAATCCATAATTCTGGTAAGACAATCAAAACTTTTGGTGGTGTATTTCCACCATTTGAGGGATCACTTGACCATTCACACATAGACTTGTGAATTTCAATTTCTACCCTCAACAAGGTATCAGAATGTTCTTGTTATACTTTCCATGTTTTCTGATTGTATAAAAGGTTTCCCATGTAGAAAAGCTGATGCTATGATGATAGTTAAGAAGTTATTAGAGGCTGGGTGTGGTAGCTCATACCCGTAATCCCGGCGCTTTGGGAGGCAGAAGCAGGAAGATTACTTGAGGACGGGAGTTCAAGATCAGCCCATTTCTGAATGTCACATTCTTTTTCTGTTTATAAATACTGCCTGCCCACATTGCTGGCAGAACTCTCTGAAACTTTACTGGTTCAGAGTGCTGCCCAATTCATGAATTATTTCTTTGCTTAAATAAACTTTGCCAAATTTAATTTGTCTAAGTATTTTTTAAACAATTGTGAAATGATCACAATTAAGCTAGTTAACATACCCACTACCTTTACATGGTTACTATTTTGTGCACATGTGTGCATGCATGCGTTTGTGTATGGTGAGGAGATTTAAGATGTCTTCTTAGCAAATTATAAGTATACAATACAGTATTATTAACTATCTTCACCATACTATGCATTTGATCTCCAGAACTCATTTGTCCTGTATAGCAGAAACCCTTTGACCAAAATCAACACATTTGCCCCTTCCTTCCAGCTCTTGGAAACCACTATCCCACTCTGTTTCCATAAAATTTTACTATTTTAGAGTCCACATATAAGTGAGATCATGCAGTACCCACCATGCATTTATTTTGAGGCCTTGAATAAATCACCATCTCTCTGTGCTAGAGTATGCTGAGTTAGTCTCGTTATAAAAGATGATTTTTTTTTTCAGTAACATATTGCAAAACATTTCATAATTCAATGGTTCTTTCCCCAGGGGGAAAAAAAAAACCCCAGGAAATATACAATAGTCAAAAAGTGTCTGACTCAACTGACCTTTGGAAAAAAAAATCGGTGTAACTCCAGATAGCCCTAACTTCTGAAGGTAATACTGCCTGGCCTCTGTTGATAAACAAAAACACAAAACCACACACACACAAACCAGCTTCTTGTCTTTAAGTGTGCAAGAATGTTAGCACTTAAAATTTTTAAGATATACACAAACTAAACAGAACAGTTCAAGTTTTTAAAGGGAGCTTGGAAATTTGAAGAATGCAAAGTTAAAAATATTGCCCGATGATTCATATAATTATTTTTCTTTTTACCTCCATCCTCATAGCTTCTCTTCTATCCATTACTTCGGCAATTGTGTAACCAAATTTAATCACTTAACACCTTATTGGTTACAAGAACATGTTACTATGTTATTTTAAGCTGTTTTGGGCAAATTACACATAATTAGATGGGCTGGGTTAGGGCTGTCTACAAGATCCCAGCCTAGAGTATGTGCAGAAGCCTGTTTTCTCCAGGACTCTTGCTGCAACAGGATGTGGGAGAAGGGAAGCAGTAATGTTAGCAGATTGGGAGGACCCAGGTTATGGAGACACGATCCTTGCATTCCAGCACCTCTCCAGCTGATTTAGAAGAGGACGCAGAGGGAGACAGACATACAGCCATTTCTAGAATGGTAAGCTCTGCGGCACGCTGAGAGGACAGGTTATCAAAGCCAGTTCGTGTACAAGCAGTGGAGGTGGTAACTGCCCTGCTTCTCCTGCCTAGCGTCACATAGCCTGGCAGATCTGGAAAGACTTCCCTGAGAAAGTGACCTTGGAACTGATATCTGAGTGGAAATAACTAGGTGTTGGGAGAGGGTGAGGTCAGGAGAGGGCCAAGAGCTTTCCTGTAGAGGGAACTTGTGTGGAGACCTTAGGCAGGCAAAGGTTTTGCATAATGGAGGAACTGAAATCACAACCAGGCTGAAGTACAGAGCAAAGGATGCTGGGGTGTGAGGTGATGTCAAAAGGTAGACACCAGGGCCAGAGGCTGCACAACCTTGCTGGCTGTGCTAATGATTTTCTACCCCAAGAATGCTACTCCAGGAGATCAGACAAGAGGTTAGATGGTGGTGAAAGTGGAAATGTAGAGAAAGGAACTTATTTGAGAGATATTTAAAAGGAAGTGAAATAAAGATTAGTTAGTGATAGATCGGATAGAAAGAATGAGGGAGAGGGAGGTGTCAGGCTGCTGCCCAGGCTCTGAGTTGCCAAAGAAGGGGTCTTTTCTTCAAGGTGATCTAAGGTTTGGAACCACGATTTTTGATCATTTTTTTATTTTCTATGTGAGAAATGGGGAGTTGGCTGTCCAGGTACACACTGTCATCTTATACTTGTTCTTTAAAAAGGAGGCGCATATTTGGGGAGTGAATGAGTGAGGAGCCAGAGGAGAAGGTGAGTGGGCAGAGGCCAGAGAGGAGAAGAGGACGAAGGGAGTCTGGGGACGCGCCCGCAGAAAGGAGTCAGGGAAGACACAGCAGAGGCCTGGGAGAGGAGAGCAAGGACCATGACAGGGAGGAAGAGAGGCTGGGGCACACTGGGGTGGAGGAATCCTGAAATATGACAGTGGTAAAGAATCGTAGCCAACCTAGTCCAATCCTTTCAATGTGCAACTGAGGAAATTAATTTTTATACTTTTACTTTATTGTAAATGCGATATTTACACTTGAGAAATTTTGGAAAACATAAAGGTGTGAGGCAACTTAAGATCAGTCATCATCATTCCACCTAGAGACACCTACTGCTAATGCAAGGACTTTGCTCCCTTTTTCCCTTTGCAATTTTACCATGGTCCGAATTGTCACACAGATACCATCTTATGTCCTGCCTCTAAAACTTAAATAACGGTTGGAAAGCGTCCCACACGCTGACCCAAAGTCTCCGTTGAAACGGATTGAGACCCGCGGGTTGTGAAACCTACTGAAGTGAGCGGCTGCGCCAGGACTCCTGGGACCCCGACCTCTACAGCTCGCATGGGTAACCGCGACGGCGCCCTTCGACAGAAGCAGCCAACCGCAGACACGCCGAGGGAGGAAGGCTGCAGCCGTCTGGGCTCGGGAACTGGTCGGCACCCAGGCGGAAAAGCACGTGGGCTGAGCGGGAGCGCAGAAGAGTGCGCAGGTCAGAGCGCGGCGCGGTTCCGCGAGGTCTCCACGCCCGGCGCCATGGGGTGCCTGCTGTTTCTGCTGCTCTGGGCGCTCCTCCAGGCTTGGGGAGGCGCTGAAGGTGAGTGGAAAGGGGGTGCCTGCCACATGCTGAGGGGACAGGTGCGCTCGCTCGCGGGAGCGTGGAGAGAGGGAGCCGGGCAGGGAAGAAGGGCGACGCCCGGTGGGGCGGGTGAGACCAGGGACGCAGTGGCGCGATCCGGCCAGAACACTCGCTGCTCCCCGGCTCCGGGAGAGGCAGCGCGGCTCAGAGCTCGCGGGCATCAGCCCCTCCTGAAGCTCGTCTCCCCGTTGTTTCTTTCTTCCTTCCTTCTCTTTATGCTGGCTGCTGTCCTGGCCACTTGCTACGCGCCTCGTGTCTTCATTCTCTCCCAGTCCCGCAAAGGCTTTTCCCCCTGCGCTGCCTCCAGATCTCCTCGTTCGCCAACAGCAGCTGGACGCGCACCGACGGGTTGGCGTGGCTGGGAGAGCTTCAGACGCTCCGCTGGAGGGACGGCTCGGACACCATCCGCCCCCTGAAGCCCTGGTCCCGGGGCACGTTCAGCGACCGGGAGTTGAAGACGCTGCAACAGTTATTTCGGGTCTATCGAGACAGGTTCACCTGGGACGTGAAGGAATTCGCCAAAATGCTGCACTTAGCGTGTGAGCTGTGGGATAGGATCCTGGGCCGGTGCCCAAGGGGAGAGAATGGCCACAGAAGCTCAGCTGGGAGGCTGTGGCTCCACCTGATGAGACTCTCTGCTCTGTCCACCCTCTTCTGATTTCCCTTCTACCGGGAGATGTCCCAGCCTCTGACCCTTCAAAGTATCCCTCGTTCCTGCCTACTCCAGGTCACTTATTTTCCTTCCCGTGAAGTCTGGGTCCCCATTATAACCCGCACATCAATTTCTTCTCTTTCATCTCTCCCAGTCTTTTAAATCCTACTTTGATCTCTCTCCATTCCTCTCCACAGATCCCATAGAGGTCCAGGTGTCTGCTGGCTGTGAGGTGGACCCTGGGAACGCCTCGAATAACTTCTTCCATGTAGCATTTCAAGGAAGACATATCCTGAGTTTCCAAGGATCTTCTTGGGAGCCAGCCCAAGAGGCCCCAGATATGGCAAACTCCGTCATCCGAGTGCTCAACCAGAAGCAAGGGACAAAGGAAACGGTGCACTGGCTCCTTAATGACATCTGCCCCCAATTTGTCAGTGGTCTCCTTGAGTCAGGGAAGGCAGAACTGGAGAAGCAAGGTCAACCTGCCTTCCTCACCCCTGCACTCCATTTACGGGGCTCCAAAGGGGGCTTCTCCATTCCAGGGTTCTCATCCTTTTGAGTATTCAAAGGAGAGGAAGGCCCAGGAGGGGCTGGATGGGAGAGGGTATTTATTCATTTCACAGACATCAACTGAGCACCTCTTGGGTTCCATGAATTGAATTAATAAACAACTGGGGTTGAAAAATGTCAGACAGGTAGGATCCCTACTTAGTGGGGGGATGTTAATTAATGCAGTGTTTGAAATAAGCTACATATGTTGCTGCAGGACAAAGGGTGTTATAGGAGAACAGACAAGGGGCATTTATAGGGGGCTGGGACCAGAGAAGGAGAAAGAGTATCTATCAGGGCAGGTTCCCTGAAGAAGGTGGCACAAATGGGTTGAAAGTTGTGAGAGGCTTCATTTCCAACGTGAACATGTGGGGGGCATGAGCCTGGTATGAGGCCTGGGGCCTCTAATGCAGAGTTTTCACTTTAAGATCCCCTCATTCCCTTGTTGGATACAGTGAAGCCCAAGGCCTGGCTGTCCCGTGGCCCCAGTCCTGGCCGTGGCCGTCTGCTGCTGGTGTGCCACGTCTCAGGATTCTACCCAAAGCCCGTGTGGGTGATGTGGATGCGGGGTGAGCAGGAGCAGCGGGGCACTCAGCAAGGGGACGTCCTGCCCAATGCTGATGAGACATGGTATCTCCGAGCAACCCTGGAGGTGGCCGCTGGGGAGGCGGCCGGCCTGGCCTGTCAGGTGAAGCACAGCAGTCTAGAGGGCCAGGACATCATCCTCTACTGGGGTGAGAAGGAGCTGGGGCCCAGGCTGGAGATTGCCAGGAGGTGGTCCTCAGCATAGAGGGAGGCACTGGGGAAGGCGGTGGCTTGATACACCCAGGATAGAGGAATTTCAGAGACGAGGCCTCCAGTAGAAGGTATAGAGGGGTTTCAGATACAGGAAGGAGGGAAATAAAGACCCCAAAAGTCAAAAAGGATCGAGACAAGGTGTTCTGTCTCTCCTCTGTCTCAAAGACACAAGAAGAAACAAGACTACAAAACTCAAGGATCTAGAGGTAGGCAGCAAATAAAGAATTCCAGGAAGATTCATTCCTTGGCAAAAGGGGAGCCAGGCCTTTGGGAAGGCAGGAGAGCAAAGATAGCTTGGTTGGTTGAGTGCCCCCTGTGTAGGGGCCAGTGAATCTGCATATAGTATCTCATCTCATCATGCACAATTCTCTTCAGAGCAAGTACTGCTCTTCTCATTTAAAAATAGATGAGGAAATGGAGGCTGAGAGAGGTTAACTGCCAAAGCCGCATAGAAAGTGGACGGGCTGGATTTAGACTCAGGTCTGCCTTGCTACAAAGCTGTTGCCCTTCCCGTCTATGCTACACTAGCAAACGCTGGAGTGGGCTGAATTTGGGATGCCCAGATTCTGAAAACAAGATGGGGAATCTACATTTATGAGAAATAGAAATAGGTGTTTTAAGTGGAGGAGGAAATAAGTGCTTGGTGTGCTCACACGTGCCTAGACCAGGGGACTGGATATAGAGAGGGAGGGGTCCTGTGCTAAGAGACAGCCTTTTTTCCTCCAAAGCAGGTGGGAGCCATGCCTTCGTGAGCTTGATTTTCTTTGTGGTCCTGGCGTGCCTGATGTTCCTCTTTGCGCTCATCATAGGCGTTACCTTCCGGTTTAAGAGGCAGCCGTAAGTCTACCTTTCCCCTTTCCTCGACCTCTCTCCCCTTCATTCGTGGGCCCCCTTTTTCTTAATGGTCTTTCCCTTTCTATTCTCTCACTGTTCCTATCAGGGCATCCTGTGACTTGCCTTACCACATCTGTGTCTCTGAAACCCAGGACCTCTGGACCTCAGGTTCCCAGGACTTCTGTCTCAGTTTGCTCAGGAATTGAAGATGAAAGGAGAGATACCTTGAAAAAGCAGAGAACAGTCATAAGGCAGCTCTCATCACACCCTTTTGACATTTATCTAAAAGAATTTAAATTCTTTTAAAAAATATTATACTACAAGTTTATAAGCCAAGTGGCTCTATAAAATCAGAAGTGTAAACACATGCAAACTTGTGTCTGAGGACCTACCAGGGACAAGCAGGTAAGGGCTGGGGTGTGAGTGTGTGTGATGGGATCTGCGATGAACTGGACCGCACATGTCCTATCCAAAGGAATCAGCTGCAGCTCCTTGTTGTTAAGTATAAAGTCAGGACCTGGCTTGGCTTTAACCATTTTTCAAGAAGACTGGAAATCTGGATTTTCATGTGAATATGACTGATTTTAAAAGGTTGACTCAAATTTTTTCAAAACACTATGTGGGACACCGCATATACGTACCTGCTGACTGATGACAAACCCAGGAGTTTGTGTCTTTTTTATAAAAAGTTTGCCCTGAAGGAGCATCTCAGAATAAGATGGTGGTACAATTTGCTTATTTAAAAAAAAAAAAAAAGTTTGCCCTGGATGTCATATTGGCAGTTTGAGGACACAGTTTCTATTGTAAATTTGGATTTATGACTGAAGAAGGATATTTCCTCTTTAAAAGAAAATTAGGTTGTGAGAAATAGAGGCGTCTCACATTTTTACTTGGTGTAATTAATAAATGAAGAGAAATCGTTGTGTATGTGTATTATGTTGAAAAAAGCTACTCTAAGTAGGGATATTTCTCTCAAATGGTCATCACTTTTTTCCTTGGAAGAAGACTATTATGAAGGTATCCCTTCCTTCCCAAAACAATGGCAACAACAGCAATCTCCTTTACTTACAGCTATTCTTTTATTTATTTATTTTTGAGACAGAGTCTCGCTCTGTCATCCATGCTGGAGTGCAGTGGCGCGATCTCGGCTCACCACAACCTCCACCTCCCAGGTTTAAGCAATTCTCCTACCTCAGCCTCCTGAGTAGCTGGGACTACAGGCGCCCGCCACCATGCCCAGCTAGTTTTTTTCGTATTTTTAGTAGAGATGAGGCTTCACCCTGTTGGTCAGGCTGGTCTTGAACTCCTGACCTTGTGATTCGCCCCACTTGGCCTCCCAAAGCGCTGGGATTACAGGCGTGAGCCACCGTGCCTGGCCAGGTACTTATAGCTATTCAAAGAGACAATGGAGGGAAAGGGCCAAGACCACTTGGGCAAGCATGAGCTGCAGCGATGATGGTGATAGCCCAGCTATGCTCTGTTCTTATCTTAGAAAGGACAGAGCAGGAAACCTACAGGAACAGCAGATCTTTCTGATGCCAAAGAAATAAGAAGGCCAAAATCATGTTTGCCTAGCTGGGAGGTAATCTCCTAGCAGAAAGGGCCTCTGAACATCCAGAAAAAAAAATGAGACTTAACTGTTGGAGAGTGTTAACTAGAGAAAAGTAACATTTCACACTCTCTCTACTAGACTTGCACATATGAATTTAGGATGTGGGTGAAGATTCTGCTGGCTTCAGCTGGGCATGTCACTTATGCCTATAATCCAAGTGCTTTGGGAGGCTGAGGTAGGGGCATTGCTTAAGGCCAGGTGTTTGAAATGAGCCTGGGCAACATAGTGAGATCCTGTCCTACAAAAAATTAAAAAATTAGCCTGGAAGTGGCTAATTACTCTGTCTGGAAGCTGAGGTGGGAGGATCCCTTGAGCCCACAAATTCCATGATTGTGACTGCACTGTAGGTGTGACAGAGGGAGACCCCCATCCCCGTCTCAGAAAAAAAAAACAAAAATTTCTGCTAGCTTCTAAATCTATGGTTCCCAAATTGTAGTAACCTGACCCGACCAGCAGCCTCAGCAGGACCTGGGAACTTGTTAAAAATGCAAATTGTTATGGGGCCTCATCCTATACCCACTGAATGAGAAACTCTGGGTCTGGTAGTGGGCTCAATAGTCAAGCCCCCTGGTGATTCTGATGCTTAGCTAAAGTTAGAGAGCCACGGTTCTTAGACATCACGCAGTGTTATGCAGCAACTTCCTTAAAATGCTAAGTGAAAAAGGAGATCTGTCTGGCCTTAGTCAGGGAGGGCGTCCTGGAGGGAGGGGAATTTGAAGCAGGACTTTGAAAAACAAAGGCAGTGAGGTAAACCAGCAAGTGCACTGGGCAAGGGGACTGGAGTTCTAGCCTCTGAACCAGTTTCCTCCTGTGCCAAAGGAGGATAATAATGTCTGTCTTATCTCCTAGACTTGTGGAGTCAAGTGCGTAATATGTGTGGCAAGCTGCAATGCCTTAAACGACGTGGAGCCTGTTGCTGTGTTTGGTACCACATTGCTCTTCAGCTTAGCTTCCTCGAGCAGTGTTAAATTTGTGAACCAACCCCACTGGCCTTCCTCATTCTGAGAGCATGCGTGTTAAAACCTCTACTGATGTCTTTTTGGAAATGCCTCTGCATGAACTTGTGGTAGCTCTCACTCATCTTTAAACAATTTTAATTTATTTAGGAAATAAAGGCTTCTCTCTCAGGAAATTTTTTCTTCCTGCAAATACTCAGTTCCAAATATCTCAGAAAATCCCGAGAATTCATTTTAGAACCTGCTAATACTCTTTATAAATATCATGTTTCTTATTGAGTGTTGTGCTGTGTCAATTTATTACCAGTCTACTCCAACTTCATCCTTCAGAATAGGCTCAGTGATAATGACCAGAGTTCCTTTGAAGTCATCACAATGACTTTCTCCTTTCGAGTCAGCACATTGTGAAGCCTTTTCAGTAAAGGGTCCTGGAGGGACTCAGCAGGAGGAAGGGGCTTTCCTGCAGCTTCCAGCTACTGCAGGGTGGGTCAGCAAAGGAGGTGTGAAGACATCATGTGTGGTGCTGCCTATGGTCCCTGCCCCTCCCAGCACCCCATCCTATCTGCAGACCATCACATCACCTGTGCTTCATCCACCCACTGCCTGGAAGTGTCCGCTGAGCAGTACTTCCTCTGCAAGCCCCTGCCTCAAGCCAGGACGGTTTCTTCCAGCTTGCCTAGCTACTTCAGGCCATCTTTGGCCTGAGTAAACCCGTGAATGTCTCTGCTACCCAAGGTACAGGACCGAACCATACCTTCTCCAATAAGCTCTGCGTCCCAGCCTTGGGGAGAAGTCACCCTTCTGAGCTGTTCTTCTTTGGATATTCTCCTTCTTCACCAGGGCTTTTTGTTGAGTTTTCTTAGATATTATAATTGTTTTTTTTTTAAATAATGTTTAATAATTCAGTTAAACTTCCTCTGTTTAACTCATGGTGGAGTTTCTGTTTTCTGATTGACTCAGGAGGAGTCATGTGTCTTCTCAGCCGTACACAGAAGTCTGTGAACTTTCCAAAGCTACTATGTAAATTTGCTTTGGCTTGTGAGTCTATGGCATGGAGTTGGTCCACTCAGCTTTGTGGTGTAGCTCTTTCTTTGCAGGCTTAGAATGGATGTTCTTCTTCGCCAAAACCATCCTCAGAAGTGCCTGCTCCACTCTTTTTTGTTTTTCAACCTTTTTTTTTTTTTTTTTTTTTTTTTTTTTGAGACAGAGTCTGGCTCTGTCACCCAGGCTGGAGTGCAGTGGCATAGTCTAGGTTCATTGCAACCTCCGCCTCCCGGGTTCAAACGGTTCTCCTCTTTCGGCCCCCTGAGTAGCTGGGATGATGGGTGCGTGCCACCACGCCCAGCTAATTTTTGTATTTTCAGTAGAGACGGGGTTTCACAATATTGGCCAGGCTGGTCTCGAACTCCTGACCTTGTGATCCGCCTACCTCGGCTTCCCATAGTACTGGGATTACAGGTGTGAGCCACTGCGCCCGGACTCAACATTTTTTACTGTACACATTTAGGTTTGTTACAGAGGTCTATTGTATGATGCTGAGGTTTGGAGCACAAATGAATCTGTCTCTCAGATAGTGAGCATAATATCCAGTAGGTAGTTTTTCAGCCCTTGTCCCCCTTCCTCTCTCCCACTCTTGTAGTCCACAGTGTCTATTGTTCTCATCTTTATGTCCATGTGTACTCAACGTTTAGCTCACACTTATAAGTGAGAACGTGTGGTATTTAATTTTTTGTTACTGCCTTAGTTCGCTTAGGATAATGGCGTCCAGCTGCATCCATGTTGCTGCAAAGGACACAATTTCAGTCCTTTTAACGGTTGCATAGTATTCCATGGTGTATATGTACCACATTTTCTTTATCCAATCTGGTGTTGATGCTGCCCTACTCTTAGTGTATCCTCTCCTCTCCTTGCCTGGAGTCTCTGTTGCTTAGGGCGACTGTAATTGAGGGGCTGTGCTTAATAATTAAGCCAAGATGACAGGTGTAAACTGGGACTGGTTCAGACAAACTTCTCTCATTTATTATTTTCCATTCATGCTGTGCAGTTGCTTAAACTGGCTCTTGTTCCTTTTTGGCCTGGACCCTATTCTCAGGCCACATATGCCTTCACAGTTCCCACTTCCTGTGATGTGACTTGAAAAGTGCCTCTAGGTGGAAAGGCAGGGAACAACTAAAGGCTCACCCAGATTATTTTCCCATATTCGGTATCACAACAGCCACTTTCTGCTTTTCTCAATGTCTGAAACACTTGTTTAATATAGTTTGATGATTTTCCACAGGTTTTTTTGTTGAAAATTTACATGCCAGTTAGTCTTTAATGACTAAGAAAAAAGTCCCATTCATTACTTTAAAATTGTGTATCTCGGTTATTCATTTACATGTATTTTAAAAATCTCAGCTTGCGTTGTAAACCTACTGTGGAAACTTTATTTGTGAATTCGATGTCAAGCACTGTGAAATCCGGCAGTCCCCAAGGAGATGAGAGAATTGACTGATTCCTAAAATGCTTGGTGAATGACGATGACAGTAAGGGTGCTTCTGTGTGTTTCTTTTTCTAGCTTTACTTGTTACTCAGAATAATAAGATTTCTTATATCCAACCAGATTTGGTGGTGCTAATATTTCTTACCCTAATGTTTACTCTTAGAACATTGGGTAAACATTTATAATGTTCTTGGTTTGCTTGGCAGAAATGAAAACAAAACTGGAGACATCATTTGTGAAAGACACATTTTGGTGGTTAGAGAGCTGAGGGCAGTGGTAAAAGCAAAAGAACATGAAGAAGGACAATTAAACAACTTGGTGTTGCTGATACACATTCTACATGGAGTAATATGTAAAGGGCTGTTCAGTGAAAACAGAAAGTCAGAAAACTTCTGCCCAACACCTGTTCTACAGAGCTAAAAATAATCCAGTTTGCAAGAGGCAGGAAATCAAAAGGCAAATAAGAAAAAGCAAAGGATACTTTAGAACAAAGAAGCTGCTCTTGGAATCCCATAAAAATAAGTATTTTTAAAAGTATTTAATTCAATGTACTTTGAAAAAAATTCAATTTTCTCTCTGTAGTTTATCTGAATCGCTTGATACTTTAATGATGCGATGAATTCATTGACTCTAGATTGGGCTACTGGAAGCTCTTAAGTGCCCTTTTACCCTTCTTTCTTTTTTTGAGAAAAAAGTAAATATACTTTGACTTCCCCCAGTGGGGAAGGTGGCAAGTGAGGGCTTCTGTGCTCAATATTCGTATTTCTCAATAAATATGTGATTTTTAGTTAAGTGAATTTTGGGGGCCGCCCATTAACCAAATGGGCCTTAGGAATTTATGATTCTCATTTTATTTGTTTAGAT